CCGCAGGGCCCCCTGGGATACTTGTTAGTGCGGTCACGTGGTTGGTCGCCTGCTAAATCTGGCACCAAAAATGTCGCCGACATGACACGTCTGAATAGTGAAGTAGTTCACAGTGAAACTGTTCAGATAACTAAATACAAGGGCAAGGTAGTGGTTTGTGGCTTTTTGTAAATACACGCAAATACACACACACACGCAAATACACACACACACACACGCGCACACACACACACACACACATACACACGCACACACACACACACAAATGCTTTATTTAAAGCCAATAATTTCGTCTTAATATCTAGTTATCATAAAATCAATAAAAAGTAAAAATAACAATTTTAGAAACGACAGAACGTAGTAATATTGGATAGTTCTCGGAAAACTGGTTTTATATATATATATATATATATATATATATATATATATATATATATATATAAACATTTACATATATGTGGCTGACACAGACTCGACACTCGAACGCGTGACTGTCGGGTTAGCAGTTAAAACGTTACCAATAGATCATGCTGTCCCAGACGACTCAACACATAATGAAAATCTCACAGAAAAAGTAGGCCTACAGATTGTTCGTGATATATCAGCCAATTTTATTTTAAAATATCGTTCAGTTACAAATATTCGTTTAAAGCAGGGGCGTAGCGAGGGGGAGGGGCGGGGGGTGCGGACCGCACCGGGTGACACCATTTAGGGGGGGGGGGGGTGACACCAAGGCAAAAAATAGCAAAATATATAGAGAAAAACTTATGGGAGGGGGGTGCAAATCGAAAACTTGAAAGTTTGTCACCGGGAAGGGCCGCAACGCCTCTGGGGGGTGACACCATTAAGTGCCGCACCGGGTGACACCCGACCTCGCTACGCCACTGTTTTAAAGCGTTTTTTATTTTATATTTTAAATTCAGTGTGTGTAAGTATAATTTATGTCCGACAAAAATTAAATGAATAAAAAAAAAGCAATATTTAAAGCATATTTTATTCTTAATTGTTGATCATCCTGATTGAAATTTAAATTAATGCTAGTTGTAAAAAAAAAAGAAATTGTTTTCATTTTTAAAAAATATTATCCCATTAAATCTATAAACCGTTTTATACACAATTTTAAAAGGCTTCACGTTTTACAGATAATCCACATTAATTCGAAGAGATTGTTGTTCAGCGAGTTGCTCTATTTATAGAATAAACACGTGTCACTGTAAAATGTGAAAGATCGCCACGCTCAATCAAAAGTGAATTTTATTTCCTTTTATGTTTTCTCAACGATTTTTACGTGCTTTGGAAAAATACAACTTTGCATTGCATGTGAGGGCTATCATTCGCGCTAAGTCCGTCTAAAACACTGGCTAGTCCCGTCTAATGCGGACAAAGACGGAGAATTACTAGTAAAACAACAACCGCGTTGACGAAACACGATTTGGGCCGTGGTTAATATGCGCGCGCATGAAATTTACCCATCAGTCAATGCTTAAAAGCTTGAACCCGCTTACCGCAGCGTATTTTTTTCTTCCTACTTTTTCGAACTGTTAGTGAAGTCTGCAATGGTAGTTCTAGCAGACGATTCGATGTACCACTGTTAATATAAGTGATGCGGGTGGAACACACAGGAAGCTCTGGATTTATTAGCAGTGACGTTTGTAGATCATTGGCGTTACTAGGGGTAGAGGCGTAGCGACCCTTCCCGGCGCACGGGGACAAGATTTCGATTTGAACCCCACCCCCCCCCCCCTCAAAGTTTCGATTTGCACCCGACCCCTCGAGAATTCGATTTGCACACCCCCCCCCCCTCAAACTTTCGATTTGCACCCCCGTCAACCTTTCAACTTATTTTTCCAACCCATTTTGACATATGTCCCCCCCCCCGCCCCCCCCCCCCCCTTCGTTACGCTACTGACTATGGGGTGTGTGTATTGGGAGGGCAGAGTTTCTTCCAGGCATCTCTTCGGGGGGAGGGGGGGGGCGGATTCCCACCCCCCTTCCCACGAAGAAAGTCTACCGCCCCCCCCCCCCCGAACGAGATGGATTTTATACAGTAAACATACACTTTTACTAATGGTCCGCCCCCCCCCCCCCCCCCGAAAAATGTTGACCGCCCCCCCCCCCCCCCCCCCCCCGGAGAAAAAAGTCTGTAAGAAACACTGTGGGACGGGGTGTCACCTCTATCGGCACTCTTTAAAGTCTGTTATATGGGACAGCGTAGTTGGGTGGTACAACACGACTGCTAGCATCAAGGTCTGGAATTTTCTGTACCTGTAGTCCGAAGACTTTCCTGAGTCAACTTAGCCTAGATTTGGGAGAGGGACAAGAGCGGGGCTATAAAGAACTGAGCACAGTGGTCATTGCTACTTCTTCTTCGTCCTTAATTTTTAGTGTTGGGAGGGATCGAGCCTTATCTGTCAGAGTGTTTGAACTCAAGACGTTTTTCGAATTTATCAACCATGAGCTTTGCCGACTCGACCATGCTTCCATCACAATTAAGGATTACGTGTCAAATGGTTATGCGCCATTGAGGCCATTGACTCCGATTTCAGCAGTTGTTTAATTTTGGAGTTGTCCCCAGCTAACGAGACTCATCCGCCCGAGGGTTCGAACTCGAGACTTTTCGGTTTAGCAACCATGAGCTTTACCGACTCGACCACGCCACGCCGATCCCTTAGTGGTCATTGAAACATGAGATTATTATCTGTCATACTGACTCTCAGCTCAGAAAGTCTAACTTCTTTTATCAGTTTAAGTATTCTATTTATCGGTATAAGCAGAGGCGTAGCGAGGGCGGGGGGGGGGGGGGGGTGCGGCACCGGTTGACACCATTTAGGGGGGTGACACCAAGGCAAAAAATTGCAAAATGTTCAGAAGAAAAAGGTTTTTCTGCCAGTTCCATTAATGATTAATTAAAGTTAATTAGTCTTTTATGTATAAATTGACAACTATAACAAAAGGTTGGGGGTGACACTATGTCGTAAACGTGTTAACTATAGAGAAAACATTGCTACGTCCAAATGTATTATTAACAGACTAAAGATAAGCTTCGTTACTATTACGTCTGCAGTGATTAAAGCAGTATATGTAGTACAAATGTCCCCGGGCGCCGACCCTATGGGCGCCAAAATACGTTGGAAAATATAAAAGCTCATTGTAAATATATAAAATATAAGGGGGGGGGGCGCCAAATTGAAAGTTTGTCCCCGGGCGCCGGGAGGGGTCGCTACGCCTCTTGGTAACTATGGCTTTGTCAGTACTGATAAATCTGGTGTATTACTGGAATTAAATTAAGATGATAAAAATTGTATGAAGTCTTGGTCTTCTGCGTACAACATTGAAGCAACTCAAAGCTAAAGGCCGCTGGCAATGAAAGAACAGGATTGAAATGTAGTTAAAAACAATTGCAAATAGAGAGGAGCAGCGGTAAAAAGCTGGGGTTAAAAACAGCGTCCTCGTTAAAGCTCGGTGTTGGATGTGTACAAATAAAAATATATTTAAAAGAAACGATTGAAAAATTGATATAAAACGTTTACTTTTATATGGTTCTTTGATCTGAATTATTACAAATATAAATGGAATTTATCGACACAATTTAAAAAAAATAGATCTTTAAAATAAAGTACTTCTAGGCTTGTATAAATACAGTTATGAGTGACTGCTTAAAACTATTCTAATTGAAAACGAGCATACATTAAAAAAGTCTATTGAAGTTACTTATTTCATTAGGCACGCATAAGGCAAACAATGCCCCATTTCAATAATTTAGTTGGTCAAGTATTAACTCTGTAGAGATGAATAAAAAAAAACATCCACATTGTATCAGCCCAATGACACAGGGTCGTGTAGAGGATCTGGGACTTGAAAAAGTGGAGTGGAGTGGGTGTGGTGGGGGAGTGGGGTGGCTGTGTGTGGGAGTGGAGTGGCTGTGTGTGTGAGAGCGGCATGGCTTCCTATTGTGGAACTTTCTCGAAGCTCTGTCCTCAACCCACTGGAGGGAAGCTGTACATCGTCCTGTGGGTACTCACGCCGACGTTTACGTCAGCGTTCAGGGTGGGGAACAACACGTGGGGAGGGGGGGAGGCGTTACCCGAGGTACACGTCGTTTGTACTGGCTCAGGGGTTCTAAACTTTTGCGATACATGGACCCCTATCGCATTAGAACTTTCCGCATAATGTCTATTTGTAAGCTAAAATTTGTCCCATTCCTCCCATCTGAAGACAGGTTGGAGATGATTCAACACAGTGGCGTAGCGAGGTCGGGTGTCACCGGGATGCGTCACTTAATGGTGTCACACCCCAGAGGTGTAGCAACCCTTCCCGGGGAAAAACTTTCAATTTTCGATTTGCACCCCCCCCCCCCCTCAAACTTTCGATTTACACCTCTTAAAAGACTATTTAACACTCGAATTAATCACTTGATTAAGTGGAATAATCATTTTTCTCTATATATTTTGCTATTTTTTGCCTTGGTGTCACCCCCCTAAATGGTTTCACCTGGTGCGGTTCGCACCCCCCGCACCCCCCTCGCTACGCCTCTGATTCAACATGGTTCCTAGAACCTTCGGACATAAAAAAAGTATAATAAGCAAATAGATCTACTTATCCTTCCTATAAATTACTGACTAGAGTTGATTTAATTGTGATCCACAAAGCTAAATAGAACTTCCGATTTTGATCCACAAAGCTAAATAGACCTTCCAATTCTGATCCACAAAGCTAAATAGATCATACAATTCTGATCCACAAAGCTAAATAAAACTTCCAATTCTGATCCATAAAACTAAATAGATCTTTCAATTCTGAACCACAAAGCTAAATAGACCTTATTCTGATCCCAAATCTAAATAGACCTTATTCTGATCCCAAAGCTAAATAGACCTTCCAATTCTGATCTACAAAACCATTTTGCCCTTATCATTCTAACCATACCTTTTTTACTTTTATCCCCACAAAACCACATTAACCATATCATTCTAACCATACCTTTTTACTTCTATCCCCAGAAAACAAGATGAATCAGGTCCAGCTCTCGCTTTTCGCCGCCCTTTTCGCCCTCCTGCTCGTAACGCTGACTCAGTCGTCTCCCTTGCCTGATGCTCTCAGGTGAATTGTTATCTCCCCATTATCATTCATCTCTTGCAATCATCACACAAGCCATCTTTCTATACAATCACCCCACAAGCCATTTTTCTATACAATCATCCCACAAGCCATTTTTCTATACAATCATCCCAAAAGACATTTTATCTATACAATCATCCCACAAACAATCTTTCTATACAATCATTCAACAAACAATCTTTCTATACAATCATTCAACAAACAATCTTTCTATACAATCATTCAACAAACACTCTTTCTATACAATCATTCAACAAACAATCTTCCTATACAATCATCCCACAAACAATCTTTCTATACAATCATTCAACAAACAATCTTTCTATACAATCATCCCACAAACAATCTTTCTATACAATCATTCAACAAACAATCTTTCTATACAATCATCCCACAATCTTTCTATACAATTATTCAACAAACAATCTTTCTATACAATCATTCCATATCCTAATTCTATAAGCTATCATTCCATTCCATAATTCCGTAAATCAATAATCTATGCAATAATTCAATTAGCCACCATACCATGTTTTTAATCACTCCCATTATTCCATCCCATAATTCCATAAGCCATCATTCTAAACAATATTTCCACCCCATAATCCCATAAGCCATCATTCTCAACAATATTTCCACCCCATAATCCCATATGCTATCAATCCGTGCTGTAAATCTATGCTTGCCATCATTCTAAACAATATTCCCATTCAATAATCCCATAAGTCATCATTCCATGCTGTAAATCCATAAGCCATCATATCATGTAATTAATGCTTGCCATAAATCTAAACAATCGTTTCATGGCATATTTCTATGCCATCATTCCATAAATCATCGTCCGTCTTTAAATCTGTTTCACCATCCTATAAATTCACTAATGTTTAAAAAAAATTGAAAGCCAACAATACGACAAGCATCCGCATGAACAAGAGTAAAAAAAAAAAACCACCACATTTTTGTTTACCCCTCTGGTTAGCACTTACTAAAACATTAACACGGCGTTTACTTACCGTTTTGTTAGTTTAGGTAACCTAACCACAGCCCAGCCATAATCCTAACTATAGTACTAACGCAAACCTCAGATTTGATTTAAACCCTTGACCCTCACATCAATGCTCTCAGTTCAACAGCTGTATGTTCTTGTCAAAGTTTTTCAAACACCCGAATATTACGCTCATATCGGTTTGTTTATGGGAAGGTGTGGCCTAGCGGTAGAGCGCTATAGTGCTATACCGAAAGTGTCGAGATCGAATCCAGGGTCAAGACAGTACAATGTCCCTGAGTCCACCCAGCTCTGATGGGTACCTGAATCACGTTGAGAAAAAGAAAGGCGGCTGGGCATAGGGTTGACCATATTATCTTTTCATATGCCGAGGTCTCTGAAATAGATGAACTTACCTTCATCTACCCAATGTGTCTTGGGCAAGAATTGGAAAAAAAATGATGATGATCGGTTTGTTTATTTATTCGTCTCTCTGTACATCACTTTAAAAAAATGAGTAACTCAGAGATAAAGGATTATCGGAACATCATCATTTCCCTAATTCCGTCTCAATCTTGTATCAAATAAACTGATCTTATTAATCTTTGATACTCATTAATTTAACTTTATTTCAACCGTAACTTTAAAAGCTGTAGCATTTTGTTGTTTTAATTGCCTCCAAAAATTTCTTCACAAAACAACTTTAATTATAACAGTTTAGAAAAGTGCCTCACATTTTCTTTTTTTTTTACTTGTGTATAAGATTTTTATAACATTTCCATCTTATGCTTTGACCACAACATCAAAAATTGCCGGGTATATTTAAATGTTTACAGTGTATAACGTAACATTATATTTCCTTTCATTGTAAAACCTGTTTCAACTTTTCAAGTTCCCGAACAAAGCGACAGTCGGCAGACGTGAGAACGGCAGAATATTTGGCATGGATCGCTCTCGGTGGCAAAATCCCCTCCAAAGGATGCGAAGTGGTGGCGTGTGGTGTGGTTGACGTGTACTCCAGGTCTGGTGACGTCATCTTGTGTTGTGCACGACGTCATAAAAATACGACCATTGTTTGTCTGTGTACACGTCACAGCGTTGTTGTGTGTGTTGTTGTGTAGCGTTGTGTGTGTGTATTTACGTCACATAAATTGTGTTCAAACCTTTTCTTGTTCTTCGTCATTCTGATACATACTGAAACAGACTACAGGTTAAATTTTAATCATTAACTTTATCCCTCATTCATTAATCTATGATATTTTTTCCAGCTTGCATTTACATGTCTGAAAAACGTTTTAAAATCCACAGTTCTTCGTTAATTAATTACTGATTTATTTCTGAACCAGCGTGTGTAAACTATGCGCGGCTATAATTTAATTACAATAATTGTTCTAAACCTTTAAATATAATTAATTTTGACAAGACGCCCTAACATATTTTTTACCTACGTCAATAAGTCAGAAGGGCTTAGCGGTAGAACCGTAACCCGCTAAGCCAAAAGTCCAGGGTTCAAATCTGGGTACATCCCTGTCTATTGAAAGTTATTTTTCTTCGGAAACCTGTGCGAACTCTACTCGTGTTAAGTCTCTTCCATAATTTTTTTCAATCTGTCGTTGATCTCTGATTTGCAGCCAGTCCTAACTTCAACCCCTTATAGCTCTAACTTTAACCCAACGCAGTACTAACGTTAACCCTTTGGAGCCGTAACTTTAACCCACTAGAGCCCTAACTTAATCCCCTTGTAGTCCTAACTTTAACCACTGGAGCCCTAACTTTAACCTTTGTAGTCCTAACTTTACCCATGGGAGCCCTATCTTCAACCCATTTGAGCCATACCTTTAACCCACTGGAGCGATATCCTTAACCCATTGGAGCCCTAACTTTAACTCATTGTATCCCTATCCTTAACCCTATCCTTAACCAATTGGATCCCTAACTTTAACTCATTGTATCCCTATCCTTAACCCTATCCTTAACCCATTGGAGCCCTAACTTTAACTCATTGTATCCCTATCCTAAACCCTATCCTTAACCCATTGGAGCCCTAACTTTAACTCATTGTATCCCTATCCTGAAACCTATCCTTAACCCATTGGAGCCCTAACTTTAACTCATTGTATCCCTATCCTTAACCCTATCTTTAACCCATTGGAGCCCTAACTTTACCCCATTTGGGCCTTAATTTTAAACTCTTGCAGTTCTTTTAACCCTTGACATCCTAACTTAACTCAGAAGGAACCGAACGTTGAGACTTTTTCAGGGCAGGTTTTTCTCGTTGCATAGCAACAAACTCCACGCCGAGCATCCAACGCACGGATGTCCAGTCCAGTTGTTTCATGCCATTTCAACCATTCCAATTCCAGAATCAGGAGATCTGCTGCTGACCAGAGGATAGCGGAACTTCAGGCTCAGGCTGCTCTGCGTCAGCCCAAAAACAGGAACATGATTGGTTACGGCCTTTACGACATTGACGCTATGTAGGTGGTCAGCGGTCGCTGGGAGTTGTGGTGTTGACTGGCCGGCTGGTGTTGATGTGTTCAGCTGGTGTTGATACGCTAGTGTTGATGTGTTCAGCTGGTGTTGATACGCTGGTGTTGATGTGTTCAGCTGGTGTTGATACGCTGGTGTTGATGTTTTCAGCTGGTGTTGATACACTAGTGTTGATGTGTTCAGCTGGTGTTGATACGCTGGTGTTGATGTGTTCAGCTGGTGTTGATACGCTGGTGTTGATGTGTTCAGCTGATGTTGATACACTAGTGTTGATGTGTTCAGCCGGTGTTGATACACTGGTGTTGATGTGTTCAGCTGGTGTTGATACACTAGTGTTGATGTGTTCAGCCGGTGTTGATACACTAGTGTTGATGTGTTCAGCTGGTGTTGATACACTAGTGTTGATGTGTTCAGCTGTTGTTGATACACTAGTGTTGATGCGTTCACCTATGTTGATACACTAATGTTGATGTGTTCAGCTGGTGTTGATATGTTCAGCTGATGTTGCTACGCAGGCGTTAAACTGATGTTTAAGCTATGGTACTGATGTGTTCATCTCATGTTCAAAGTTGAACTAATGTTGATAAGCTTGCGATGATATGTTCAGTTAACGTTGATACGCTGGTTTTGATGTGTTGATAAGCCAGCTGATGTTGATGTATCCGGTCGACATCAATGTTGTTCAATGTTGATAACATGACCGATTAATGTTGATGTCTGGCTGATGTTAATACCGTCCACCATGTTGATAACGTCGGCGAATGTTGATAAAGCCGGCGGATGTTCATCCGGCTGAATGCAATAACGTCCATAAATGTTGATAAATGTTGAGATAATGTTGATAAGGCAGGATAATGTTCATTCAGCCGGCAATGTTGATAGTCACACTGAAGTAAATGTCGTCCTTTAGTGTTGATATACCCCGCTATGTTCATGTACTAAAGGTCATACGGCCGGCAAATGTTGATAGACCGCCTGATGTTAATATGGTCTGTTGTGTTGATACGACAACTGATGTTCATGTTGCCGGCCTATTCTGTATGTTGTCAATGGCAGATGTTGTAGCTGGCTGCTGTTGATGTTCAAACGGCTGTCCATCGTCTGTTGATCCAGGCAGGTCGTGTTGATTCACGACATCACTGTTGATACAACTTGTTTATGCTGCTGTTGATACGTTTTTTTTTTGTTTATTCATTCCTCTTATGTTGATATAGCCTGTTGATACAGGTTGTTCGTGTTGATAAAAGCCTTTTTTTAATGACAACCTAGAAAGTACGCCGAGGTCACAGAAACAAGTGAACTCTACTTCACTTGCCCCATAGACCGTTAGGTTTGGAATGGGAACTATGCTACTATTACTAGGAAGTAGCTGATGATTCCAACCCATGTTTAGGTTGAAGATGTTTATACCGTCTGTTGCGGTGGTTCTCAAACTGGGTTCGATCTAACCCCAATGGACGTGGAGTCAGTATCAGGGGTGAAGCGGAGGTCACGGCTCGTATGATTTGCGATTCGATGTTGTCAATACGGACGACAATAGAAGGGTTCGCTGAATGCACATTTGAAACTGGTGGAGCTAGGTGCCTATAAAGCAGTGAAGAACCATTGGTCTGCTGTATAATATATATCATTTGGCGGAGAATGGAGATTTACATGTTGATAATGTATTGTTATGCTGTAATACGTGATGTGTTGATTTGATATTTTTACACGATCATAATCAATTTAGGTTCTTGCAAGAATGTTTTAAGGGGAGGTAATTCCGATCAATGGGAGACGACTCTAGCAGTCAAGATAGATTATGTTATTTTTTTTCACGGCAAAAAAAAACCTAGTTGGGTAATATGTTTTGTATCTAAAATCTAGTGCAGTTACAAAAGGTGGACTGAGCGTTGGTTAATAAAAAACAAAAAAGAGTTAATGTTATTCCTGTATTATATTTTAAGGTTCAGTGGGTTGTATAGTGCACTGTAGTGTAACAATGTCTTTGTAATTCTTATTTTAAATGCTTAATGTATCAAAGAGTGTTATCTGCCTTTCAAAATAATGTGAGTTTTAACTATTATTTCTAAGAACCCATCTTCCGGAACGAGATTCAAACAATAAACAAACAATAATTTTTGAATTTTAAAATGACCGAAAATTTACTTTTAGACGATAGAACAATGCTTATGTTTATTGAGAAGGAGAGGCTTAAGACGTTTAAAGGATGGCCAAATGATAGTTCTTGGCACTGTACTCCAGAAAAGCTTGCACAAGCTGGATTTTACTTCAGCCCATGTTCTGATTGTCCTGACAATGTGTGCTGCATATTCTGCCTGAAAGAATTAGATGGGTGGGAGCCAGATGATGATCCAGTCAAAGAACACACAAAGCATTCACCCAAATGTCCCTTTTTGACTCTGAAGAAGCCAGTTGAAAATCTTACTACCACTGAATTTGTAAAATTAGCCATGGAAATATTGATGATAAAGATCGAGAAAATTTTTGACAAAAATATCAAGGAGTTTGAAGAGCAAGGCAAGGTGAACAGAAGTGCAATAACAGATCACATAAATGGAAACTAATGTAAAGAACATGACTCACACTTGTATATACTTGCCTTTGTTCCTAATGCATTTTAAAAATAAAACCTTGTATATTGGTTGAGTTGTCACAGTGCCTAATACTTTTTGCCTTACGTTATCAGCATCACATTTATACAATACATTTTTTTACATTCATCATGTCCTAATCAACATCTGGTATTGAAGTATCGCTTTTGTAATAATTACTTTGGCAATCATTTAATGAGGACCACCTTTACCTAATTATTTAACTTTTCGTTGCTGTGAATTTTGTATTAAATTAAATAAAACCAATACTTTTTAAAAAAAAAAAAAAAAAAAAAATAAAAAAAAAAAAAAAAATTTCTAAGAACCCATAGCAAATAAAATGAAACTGATTTTCTCAAAACACACTAATGCACTTGCACACATAAAAAAAAAAATTCTAATGTAAATATTGTAAAGTAAAATGAATTGAAAACAAAATCTTTAAATGGTGTGTTTAAGCCACGCAAACGAATTCATTCGTCCGTATATTATATTGTACTAGCCGTCCCGACCAGGCACTGCACTGGCCTCTGTAAAAACCTATCTGTAAAGGACCATGATTTGTGTGTTTATTAAGCAGCATACAACTAGTGATATAATCTAATGTATTATATATATAAGTAAAAGTAATTACTTTTAAATTATATACATAAGTAATATAAATTACTTTTCGAATTAACCCTAACCACAACCAACCAAAACCAAAATACACAAAAAACGCAAACTGATCGCAAACACAAAAACAAACGCAAACACATACGAAAACACAAACACGAACACAAAAACAAAGAAAACACAAACACAAACAAAAAAGCAAACGCAAATACAAACACTAGCACACAGGGAAACATAAACACTAATGCAAACACAAACTTAACCACAAACACAAACGCAAACACAAACACGGACAAAAAAGCAAACACAAATACAAAACTCTAACCACACACAACTAAATTCAAAACACATAAAAGATTATATATATATATATATATATATATATATATATATATATATATATATATATATATATATATATATATATATATATATATATATACATTATTCAAATATTAATCCTTCTTTCCTTAATGATGTATGATACACTTGGTTATCAACACATACAATCAGCACACATCTGAAAAGATTTAAACACATGTAAACATCCATACACATACTCATCCAAACACATTCACAAACCCAAACACACCCAAACACACACATACGAACAACCAGTACATTTGAATGTCTGTTTAATAGTGTATTTTGCTGTGAAGAAAACGTGCGACCTACTGAAGTTGTGACACATTTTAAATAAACTCCCGTTTTCAAATCAAAGTATGTAATATTTTAAACCTGATATTGTAGGAATCCATCTAAATATTTTTAAACGGTAAATTAGTCACAATTTTATGTTTATGTCTATGTATTAATACACTGTTACTGTTGCATATTATGTATGTCTATATATGTCTATCAATGAATGTTATGTGTTTGTATACAATGTATATATTTTCGCCTAAAATATACGTAAAAGTTTAAATTTAAATTTAACATGGATGAACCAAATCATTTAAAAAAAATTATTGTGAACTATTACGTGTTTTGTTTTGTTGTTTAAAAAAAAAAGTAAAATTCATGTTTTTTAAAACGTGATATATGACTTTGCTTTTATCACCATACATTTTTAAAAAAAAGTATTGTGAACTATTACATGTTTTGTTTTGTTGTTTTAAAAAAAAAGTAAAATTTATGTTTTTAAATCGTGATATATGACTGCTTTTATCACTTCAAATGTCTGTTGTAGTGGCAAGAAGAAGAGAGACCCCCAGTTTGTTGGCGTGACCGATGAAGAAAGATACAACTTATTGAAGGCGTTGCTCCAGAGGGCTGCTATAGAGAACTCCGCTTCCTAGGTAGGTCAGCTTCCTAAGTAGGTCAGCTTCCTATGTAGGTCAGCTTCGTAATTAGGTCAGCTTACTAGGTAGGTTAGTTTCCTGGGTAGGTCAGCCTCCTAAGTAGGACAAGTTCCTAGGTAGGTCAGCTTCCTAGGTAGGTCAACTCCTATGTAGGTCAGGTTCGTAATTAGGTCAGCTTACTAGGTAGGTCAACTTCCTAGGTAGGTCAGCCTCTTAAGTAGGTCAACTTCCTAGGTAGATCAGCTACCTAGGTAGGTCCGCTTACTAGGTAGGTCAGCTTACAGGGTAGGCGAGTTTCCTAGGTAGATCAGCTACCTAGGTAGGTCAACTTCCTAGCTAGGTCAGCTTCCAAGGTAGGTCAGATCCCTAAGTAGGTCAGTATCCTAGGTAGGTCCAACTAGGTACACTAACTCCTATGTAGGTCAGTTTTCAAGATAGGTCAGTTTCCGAAGTAGGTCACTTTCCTAGGTGGGTCACTTTCCTATCCTAAGTAGGTCAGCTTCCAAAGTAGGTCAGCCAGGGATCGTATATAAACATTTATTTCAGTTGTTATACAACGGCTCAGCTTCGCTTTGATATAAATTTTACTTAACAAATATTATATATATATATATATATATATATATATATATATATATATATATATATATATATATATATATATATATATATGAATGTATAATATAATATATATATTATTTAATAATTCTACGTTCTGTCGTTTCTAAAATTGTAATATTTACTTTAAGAGATTTTACGGTGACGAAGATTTCAAGACTGTATTATTAATTTCAATCAAGTATTGTTTATATGTGTGAGATTGTATATGTATGTGTGTGTGTGTGCTTGAGTGATTAAGCATACAAAATATTAGGACAGATATTGATTGCTCATGATATTGCTTATACTACAATCAAGAAGGTATATATTTTTTTTCAGGTGATTGGAAGTGTCGTGATGGAGACGGGAGGGAACTGGCATGGAGAAGAAAATAAACTGAACACTTTAGCAGGAGTTTTATCCCTTGTTTGCTAACATTACACCGATTTCCACCGCGTTAAAATACTGCGTTATGAAAAAAAGGAAACAATTGTTTTAATTTTTTTGTTTCTTTCTAGAATTAAAAAAAAATAAAAATTTGAACTTCTTTTAACGAATTCGTTTGGTTTTTTTTTTTAATTTCTAATTTGTATTATTACTGTTTTAGTTAGATTTCAGAATTTTTTTGAATGTCATATTTTTTTTTCGCAACGTTGTAAAGTCTAAAATGGTCTGAATCTCAAGATAACTTGGATTCCATCTAAAGTCATTAACTCATAAGGGACGGTATACGATCAAAGCGTTTTGGTGTATAGCCTACTTTTGTGATGTGTAATATTTCATTGAGATATTTAAATTTTTTCAGCACATAGCTAATATTTACTTCGACGTGGAGGACATTACCATAAAAAATATAAATAATTGTAGAAGTTCTAAAAATTCCCTACGGATTGAGCGCTTATTAATTAAATCAAAATATGACATTTTGAATCACCACTTTATCCCAAGAAACATTGTAAAAAAAAACTTTCCATACAACCACTACCAAAAATATTACGTACCAGAATACTGGATTAAACAATACATTTGTTTTAAACAGTTTTGCTAAATAACTGGTACTACTCACGACGTTTTTCCACATAATTCAACATATAGTCCCTGCAAGTTTACGGGAAATGCAAAAATAAACATGATGCATGAAGCAGAAATATCTAACTAATAAAGACAAAAGTGTTACATTGCACAATAATGAACCGGGAGTGATCTCCCCTAAAATTTCTCGAATATTCTTATGTAACATTACGGAGAATGGCAACGGAGAATGCTTATAGGCATGATTTTTAATCAATTTTTAATTATTTAAACTTTTTAAAATAGAATCTCGTAGAAAAAAAGTATTGCGCACCAAGTAACGCCAAACAATCTATGTATAATAATGCGGAACATTATTAGTACCTTATAAATTCATTTTCGTTTTTTTTTTGAGAAATCGGAAATAGCTTAAATTACTACTTCCGGTAAACGAAAATTACTCAAAATTAGTCAGAAGGCAAAAGATAAGATCGTTTGCTTATATGTGAAATTTCGTTTATCTATCTGAAACAGTACTCAAGTTATAGGCTTTTAAAAAACTAAAAGTAGAATAAGTCCCACTTCCGGTTATCGGAAATCGCTGAAACGTTGATACAGAACTAAAAACTTGATATAATACTTATATATGAAATTTCATCAACCTGGCTGTAACGGTACTCAAGTTATCGTGTTCACAGACACACATACATACACACACACGGACAGAATTGAAAAAAAAACAGTTTTTCTGACTCAAATACGCATAATACGCCTAAATTTTGATAAATCCGGTTTCAGAATTTTTGCCGGATTAAAATAAGTCCCCTATACTCTGTGTGTGATGAAGTACTGAGGTGAATAAACCGGGAGTGATCTCCCCTAAACTTTCTCGAATATTCTTATATAAAATAACAGGGGATGGGAACTCGGGCTATAGACATGATTTTTAATCCATTTTAAATACTTAAAGTTTTAAAAATAGAATAAAATCTCGTAGACAAATTAATTGCACACCAAGTGAACGTGAAATAAAAAAGCGCATAATAGTGCGCAATATTATTATTACTTTTAAAATTTACATTAGTTTTTTGAGAAATCGGAAGTAGCGTAAAGTACTACTTCCAGTCAACGGAAATGACTCAAAATTTAACAGAAGGTAGAGAATTAGATCTTTTACTTACGTATGAAATTTCATTTATCTATCTGAAATAGTACTCAAGTTATAGGCTTTTGAAAAATTCAAAGTAGGAAAAGTACCACTTCCGGTTATCGGAAATCGCACAAAAGTTGATACGGATCTACGATTTTGATTAAATACTTATATATGAAATTTCATCAACCTAGCTGTAACGGTACTCAAGTTATCGTGTTTACACACGGACACACACACACACAGACACACACACACACACAGACACACAGACATACGGACAAGATTGCAAAATTATGTTTTTCCGTATCAGTGAGATGCAAAACGTCGAGATTTGCAAAAATCTCGATTTTTTTTTTTGCACGATTACAAGACTTTCTCTATACTTCGTATATACGAGAAAGTAAAAAAGGGTGAAAACTGTCAAAATTTCATGTGATTTTTGTGCACAATCACAATGGTTCCCCTATACTCTGTCTAGGAGAAAGTAAAAATGTATATTTAGCTTCCCCATCCGATGACAACCTCGTTAATGAAGATGTATTTTGAATACATCCTATCATGTAAGATTTAGTTTGAATACACCCTATCATGTAAGATTTAGTTTGAATACACCCAATCATGTAAGATTTAGTTTGAATACACCCTATCATGTAAGATTTAGTTTGAATACACCCAATCATGTAACATTTAGTTTGAATACACCCTATCATGTAAGATTTAGTTTGAATACACCCAATCATGTAAGATTTAGTTTGAATACACCCAATCATGTAAGATTTAGTTTGAATACACCCAATCATGTAACATTTAGTTTGAATACACCCAATCATGTAAGATTTAGTTTGAATACACCCAATCATGTAACATTTAGTTTGAATACACCCTATCATGTAAGATTTAGTTTGAATACACCCAATCATGTAAGATTTAGTTTGAATACACCCAATCATGTAAGATTTAGTTTGAATACACCCAATCATGTAAGATTTAGTTTGAATACACCCACTCATGTAACATTTAGTTTGAATACACCCAATCATGTAAGATTTAGTTTGAATACACCCAATCATGTAAGATTTAGTTTGAATACACCCACTCATGTAACATTTAGTTTGAATACACCCAATCATGTAAGATTTAGTTTGAATACACCCTATCATGTAAGATTTAGATTATATACACCCTATCATGTAAGATTTAGTTTGAATACACCCTATTATGTAAGATTTAGTTTGAACACAACTCTATGAATGAAGATGTAGTATGAATACTACCCTATAATGCAGATTTATATTTTAAACGAGCCAACATTTTGGTTACATGGTCCTTAAATGTATTCTTCAGCCACTGAAAACATAAGTTCCTTTAAGTTACTCTAACTTGTAGTTAAAGCTTTGGTCTCTCATGAAATCACTTAAACTTATTAGCGGCCAATGCAAGGTTTTTTTTTCAGTGCTTATCATTATAACATTTTTTATATTTGTAATTTTAAAAATAAAGTATTTTGAGATTTGATACACTTAACAACAGGAACAAAAACAGATTTAAATTGTATCTATTTTTAATAAACAATGCAGGTTTTTGCTTTTAAAATTTTTGTTTGTTTAAATCGTAAACACGTTTGCTCGAATTTTATTGCACATAATCAGTAAAACCTACACAAAATATTCAGTGATTAATTTCTAAAAACAATCTTACATACAGTTAACTTTAAAAATTATCATCCGATTAAGTTGACTATGTATGTAATTTCTCTGTGGAATTTTCCTGTTCAAGTTTTTTTCTTTACTTTGGTGCTGATTCAGTCAAATCTGATGCAGATCTTTTCTTTCTACCACTGGAAATATGAAAACAAACCAACATTGTGATGTCAAAATAAATATATGAACAAGCAGTCTTTATGTATGTGATGTTAATAAAATAATCTTAAAAGTCAGTAGGTTTGATATTTCTTAAAATTTGGAATCGGTTCAATTTTCTAAAACAAGCAGTAGTTGGAATTTAAATCGGGTGTGTGTTTAATGTAAGACATAATCATGGAGAGTACACAAAATACGTTGATTTAAGACACATGTCAACGACGTATAACCAGTTTGTTACACGTTATAAAAGTATTAATACGACAATGACGTAAATGTTGTAAAATACGTTGCAACAAATTTATCCATAGAGACGAACGTAAATGTTTGAATGCACTCTGATTTACCTATAAGCTGGACAAGCTATAGAATAGGGTCCTTGTTTTTGCTGGGGACACCCCAAAGTATTTTTTTTTAATCTGGTGGGCATTTTGTCGCCAAATTTATTTTTTAGACATTTATTGATAATTTTCCTTTCTTTGTTTTTTTTTAAACTTTGTTTGCGGTCGAGTTCTCTTTGCAATACAATTATAAACATAGTTATGTTCATCAACACGCTTCTTTTTAAAAACGCAAATATTTCTCAGAATCGTATAACACATAGCCCCACACAGAAAATAATGTATTGCTTTAACGTAATTGGTTATTGGTAATTGGTGTATTACACGACTATTGTCAAATAAAATAATGAAAATAAACCCTAACAGATACTAACAATTGAGTTAACGAACCTTAAATACGGGTCAACAAGACCGCAGGCTACTTCCTCACAGCGTCTGGGAAACGGAAACCGCAACAACGCTATCAAAGCCAACCATTGTGCAACGATCACGTCAGCCACCTGCGTTTTCTGTATGAGGCTTGAAAAAATTAACAATAGAATCATACTAGACTACCCGTTATCTCTTGGATAACTGCTGGTTTCGAGGGTCATCCATAAATGACATCACGTCTGTTCACTTATCATCACAAAATAACCAGACCCCACATTCAAAAAGACGTGTTTTTTTTTATCTATTAAAAAAACCGATTTTGGCTGAGCATGGGACTGACCAAACTATATCTTCATACAATGACGTCACAGGTGATCTACTCAACTCTACTTCACCTGCTCAGTAGTGCTCAGTGTCCCGCCAAGTCTCAGACAACATGTTTTTATCGATTAAAAAAAACGATTCCGGCCGAGCATGTCTCTGACCACACTATCCCTTCATAATCATATGCTGAGGACAAAGAAACAGGTGAACTCTACTTTACCTGCCCTGTGTCCCGCGAGGTTCCGATAGGCAACTTCAGCATTCACGTTTAATGAAACAAAAATTGAAAAAACAAACTTTGTCGTGATGTGTCTCGAACCCGTACCACCCGCGTGGTAACTATTACATTACCATCTTAGCCATATGGGTACTGGATAACCAATGTAGAATTAGTCCTATGTAACCAGTTAAGCGAATAGGTCCTATTATTTTAAATTTAATTAGGGCCTATATCCCACATTAGCCAACTCCATAGCTAAACAAACACAGATTT